GTTTCGCTTAGCAACATAAATTTTGGGCTCAATTGTGGTCATAAGTCAAGGACTACCTGTAGTTTTTTAATATAATTCTATTCGTAAAAAAACCCAACACCCTAAAAACTAAAGCCTTTTCTGCTGAATTCAACTTCTGATGATTTCATGGATACATCTGTGTAGTTTTCTTGACATCTGTATCAATTAAATGGCTATACAGTATAAATGGCTTTGCCATTGCCTGTTTCTGGAATATTTTTGGACTTTCCACTTTGCACAATGCCTACAGCATTGATACTATGGTGGTTTTTCACCCCAGTACTGACTAAATCCAATTCTGCTTAGCTTTTTGAGGGCTAGCCATCAAAGTAATCGTAGATATGTCAGTAGGGATCTGTATTTAGATTTATGAACTTCCATTAAATGATCTTGGAAGAGTTGCTAAGCCACAATGGGTTAGGCTTGGAACACCATCTGAACGCAGACCATTAAGGGACTCTGCCAAGATTAATCACAGTTTATCCCCATGCTTGTGCTACATTTAACTGAACCATCACATGGCAGGTGGTCCAAACAAGGAAAGAGGAATTAGCTTTATTGTTTAGTTTCCCTAACTCTCCAGACCGAGAGATGGGAGTCAGAAATGGTGTAAAATAGGTATATGTTTGTGTTTCTACTATTGCTTCTACTCATATTTTCCTCCACCACATACGCAATTAGTATCAACTCCAATTAGACACACACCCCTAATTTGGGGGATAGGGGAGGAGTACACAAAGAGATACTAACCATTGGTGGGCACCCAAAGTAAGTTTGCTTAGCGTTCATATCTCTCACTTGCTTTGTAAAGTAATTGTGAGAAAACATTGTGAAGAAAGAGCCGTACCATATATTAACTTGAACTCCCATTTTGCAAGTGTTTAATATGCAGGTACTCCTCAGCTTACATCATAAATTGGGACTGGGATTTTGCTGTCGCTAAGTGATGCAAGTTTAAAGCAGGGGGCGGTAGGGAGTGCTGCTGGGGATGGGAGAGACTGGGTCAGGGTCAGGGAAGCCATATTTGAGTGGGAGAAAGAGTAGGAAGGATGTATTGGGAGTGACTTGTGACCTTCCCTGCTGGCTTCCACGTTGACTTTGTTTGCGGGGACAGTCACAAACAGCAATCATGTCTCCGCAGCTCCTTGCAATATCATAATCATGGGCTGAGCGTCTAGATTGCAGTCACATGTGCTGTGTGGGGAGGGATGCTGTGATGCTAGAACAGCGGTCCCCAACCTTTGCGGCTTGGTGGCCCAGCCCAGGGGGAGCGGAGGAACCGGGATGCACAAACATGCAGCCCTGCCACTCACGTGAGTAGAGCTCCACATATGTACATGTGTGCCAGCCCGTTGCTTGCGTGACTTGAGCTGCATGTGCACTCTGGCCCACAGCCCGGGTGCAAATAGGCCACGGCCCAGTATTAGGCTGCGGTCTGGGGGTTAGGGACCCCGGGTTAGAGGACTGGTCATTTTTTTCACTGCAGCTGATTGTTAGTACCATAGTTGTTAAGTGAATCTGGTTTTTCCATTGATTTTGCTTGTCAAAAGGTGACCCTGGGATGCTGCAATGGTCATAAGTATGAACCAGTTGCGAAGCATCTTAATTTTGATCACATGATGATGGGGCTGCTACAAAGTTTGTAATTGCGAAAAGTGGTCATAAGTCATTTTTTTCAATGCTGTTGTAACTTTGGTCACTAAATGAACTTGTAAGTTGAGAACTACCTGTATTTTCTTTTTATTAACATTCAGCTTTCTCATTAGGGTAGGTCTCGTTTTACAATCACAACTGAGACCAGAATTTGCATCATAAGTCATGCAACTGCAAGTCAAGTTGGACCCAACAATGCCTATGATTTAAGAGAATCACCACGGTCATTAAGGAAATCATTCAGTTGTTAAGTGAATTCAGTTTCCCCAATGGGTGTTTTTTTGCTGGAAATCAGCAAAATGGTTGCACATTGTGATCAGGTCACGACAGGATGCTGAAACCGGCTCTAAATGCAAGCTGGTTGCCAAGCCCTCAAATTGTGATCATGTGACCATGAGGGTGATATGATGGCTTTAAGAGTGAGCACAGGTGATAAATCACTTCTTCCAGGGCCACCATAACTTTGAACTATAACAAAATGCTAAATTGTTGACTGCTTGTAATCACAACGTGAGAATGAACATTCTATAGGGAAGTGATTTTAAAAAACCTGAGTAGCCTGTTTATTATCTTTTGGGGACAGTATTGCCTGGTGGTGTTTTATTTTCCCCCTTTAGAAAAGTGGCAAATTGGGCATTTTCTTTTGAACCAGAAAAAGTGTAAGTTGTCTTTGTTTTCTTCCTTTTGTCTGGGGAATAAGATTTCCCAAGTAATTTTGAAAAGTGGGAAGAAATTATCAGAATTGGCCATGAACTTTCTGTATTTTGAACACTGGATCAAGGTTGTTTCCTTGCAAAATTACAAGACATTTCCTTCATAATGGAGGAAAAAACATATTTTTATTGGTTTTTCCAAAAGCTTCTGCTGTTCTAAGATAAAAGGGAAATGAAAGAGCACACATTGATTTCTGGGGTGACGTCATATTTTACTCCAGTGATAAGTTTTTCCAAGCCTTTTTAAAGAAGAATTTCAACTGCTACCAATTTTAACTTGTATCTATTGAAGTACTCTGCTTAGGTAGCATCAGAATTTTCTATTTAGAAATAGAATTTGTTTATTTTATTTTCATAATTCTATGCTTTGTTCCATAATAAAAAAAAAAACTCAGGGAATTCAATAAAATGTCAATAAAAATAATTGTAATAAAAACATAGAGAAGAGCAGCTGCTTTTCGTTATGCGTTCCTAGATATAATCAAGACTAAAATGAAAATATAACTAAAGCATTTTTAGGACTTGCTGTTGTTCAAAAGTTTTTAAACGTCTACCTTGAATAGAGCTAATATCTTCATGGACAAAATCCATGTAGGAATACTTACTGATTTATATCTCCTTGGAATCTGATAACTCATAAAGGCAGATACAATATAAGGAAAAATCAAAGCATCTATATGGTATCTGTGTGGTTGCTAAGAGTTGTTGGCACATAATCACATAATGACACATTTAAAATTTACAGTGTAATCAGAAAATCAATTGACACCAAACATATTTCGATCTTTTAAGCATGATATTTATCTTTATATAAAACATCAATATAGATGTAAAATATGTGGAAGCCTCTCCAAAATATTTCAGTTGACATAATGAATTGAATGTGAACATTTTTTGATTCAATTAAATATATCAACAGAGATATTTTGGAGAGACTTCTAGTGATGCTATGTATTGCCCATGTTTTATATTTGTATTGATAACTTTATTTGTCCTTTATCTTGAGTGTTTTCAATTTCCTAGAGGCTATTAAAGAGGGACCAGTCTATTCTCCACCAGAGAAATAGTCCAAAGCACTCAAACCATTATGAGGAGCAGTTCCTCTTTTCTTTGGCTTTCCTCACCTCCTAAAAATATGGAACCAGAATGTGTTTCTCCTTGAGCAGTCTCCTAAGATGGGCTGATTTAGGTTAGAAGTCTCTTGGAAGGCTTGGAATGGCTTGCAATTGGTTTTTTCCCATCATATAGTTTCAACTAACCTTGCTAATAATTCAAGTATTAGAATTTGGTCCCCAGTTTAAGTTCTGGCCATTTCATTTTGTTTTGAAAATTTATATTGCTGCCTCCTCGCACATGGTGACCCAAAGATATAAAAACATATTAAAATAATAATAATAAAATAAAAAAGCTAAGCTTTTTGACACCAACCAAGGATGAAAAAGACTTGGTAAGGATTCCTCCCCCCTTCCTTAATCAGGCTGCACTTTCAAAATGCAGCAAGAGATTTCAGTGATGTAGTGAAATCAGTTGGTCTGAAGCGGTTTGTAGGGGTTGGTTGGTTTGTGATTCTGGTTATCTTTTTTAAAGCTCTAGGTCGGTTGGTTAAGCCCAGCAGAGGTTTACAAAACTTCTGTGATTAATCTTTCAGTGGCAATAAAAGAAACAAGGCAATAATCATCAGCCTGTTGAAAATTTGAGGTTCTCCTCTAAATTTTGGCAATACAAACTTGGGAGGCGGGGGCTTCCTTGATTGCAAAAAATGAAATTGGGCCATATGGGGCCTGTGGATTTCTGATCCTTTCTCTAAAATATATGAGTTCAAAAAGAGCAGCTTGGGAACCACATGTCACCTACTATCCGCATCTGCGACTTTCAGAATGAACAAAACCAAACATTTGCGCTGCGTTTTGTGGAGGAAAGGTTGTTACTAGGGTTTTTTTTCCCCTTTGCATTTTGTGAGGCAAAATGGTGGGCGGGGAGTCCTTAAACTTTGCCGGTTCACTTTGGGTTCTGATCCCACCCATTTTCGATGTCCGGCGAATGACAGGCATTCAAACGTGATGGGACAGATCTGAAGGTGGCTACCAGAGCTAACTTTCAGGCTAACCTCTCTTTGGAGAAGAGAAAATTCTGCAGTTTGAGCTTAATTGCAGAACAAATTCTGTCTCATCTCGTTTTCCCCTGAATCTCTGCTGCAAAGGACACTTCTGGAAGAGCCTGTGATGATCAGCCATAAGCTGTAAACAAGCTTGCATGTACACAGGTATCCCTTCGTATAAGAGGGATAGATATAAGAGGGATTTATTTTTCTTATATGTACCCATTTCATGTATTCACAACTATGTATACACTTATACTTATTATCTTGTAAACAATTGGCAAATAAATAAATAAATAAATAAATAAATAAAATAGTGGAAGGAATTCTGGTTTCACAACTTAAAAATAATAGCAGAAGTCAAAGTAGTTCAAGAGACATATATAGCTCATGGTACTCTTTATTTTAAAACACAGCTCTTCTTTGATTAGTCACTCTTTTATTTGTAAAAGGAAACTATTTGTTCTCAGGGACAATATTGATCAGATTATATATTGTTTTTGCCTTTGCTCCAGAAAAACAGAAGTTTTACTTCATGGCAAGAAGTAATATCCTGCAACAGAAATTTCCCCCCAAACTGGGCAGAAGGAATCTTCATAAATTGTGACGTGCAGACCTTCAATCAGATTTTGCTGAAATGGGTTATATGGCTCGCAATTCAGTCCTGGGATTTATTCTTAAGTAAGTATATGTAGAATGGAAACTTCATTAAGCAAACAATACAGTGCGTCAGTCCCATATTTTTTCTTTTTAAAAAACATTTGCTTGCTATAGGATAGTTGCATGGAAGCATTGCATCAGGTGTGTATTTCATTGCACCCATAATCTGTTGGAAAGATACTCTAGATTAAGAAGAAACTTAAGAGGCCATGGTAGAGAAGAGTTAAAGGAGCAAGAGAAAGTCCAGCTGTTCCAAGTTGGATAATAAAATGTTGGGTGTAATCCCACTGTTTTCAATTTTTCATTTCAAGCTTTTATTTTTGTTCAATTTTAAACATTTTATCAGATGCAGCCTTCTAGTAGATAAAGAATCAGTATAATATGATGATGCACGGAATATTTTTGGCATTTTCTTTTCCCTCCCCTTTCCCCTCCTTTCTTTTTCTTCTCCTTTCCTTTTCCTTTTTCTTTCCCCTCCCCCTTTGAGTTATTTTTTTTTTACTCCTGGCCCCTGCCTTGACAAGTCCCTACAGTTTTCCTGGCAAGGTTTTTTTGGATCTGATTTACCATTGCCTGTTTCCCAAGGGTGAGAAAGAATGACTGGCCCAAGGACAACCAGCTGGCTTTATACCTAAGACTAGACTAGAACTCAGTCTTACACCAAACTGGCTCTCACTATTTCTTAAGGTAAAAGTAAAATATATTAAAAAATTCATGTATCAGCTCTCAAGATATATATTGTACTCCAGGCTTCACAGGGGCTAAGGCAGAAGAAAAAGTATTTTAGCATAATATATCTGAAAGATATAAGATCAAAAATGGTTGCTTCAAAGTGGGATGGAATACGCTTGACTTTCTATAATAGTCAGTTGACCAGTGAAATAAAATCAATTATCCTTTGAACATTATGAGAAATTCAGGATACCGTTATATTCAATCCAGTAAATGTTGAGTTGAATGGCCTTCTGAATCTAATCTGTAAATAATTTTTTATTTACCTTTTAATGTATATTATAGTATAGCAAAAATAACAATGAGGCTTTGTAGTGTAATTGTACCCATGTGTACTTTGCTTCTTATTTCCCTGTGTTACTGCTTGATCATTTGGTGCTTGGGAATATACCTGGTATAACTCCTGAATGTTTACTTATATTTTTATTTCCATACCACTATTATAAATAATAATTGACCACAGTTTAGGATTTAATATGTGCTGCTTCTCTGGGCAATTCTGGTCTTCTTTATTTCAACTTCAGCCATGGAATCCTAATGTTCCTTCTTGCTGGCCCTCTTTTCTGTTTTTCCTGACTATGCAATTAAAGTTGGCCTTTAGGCCAACATTGTGGGGCTGATTAGAGCCTTGTGACAATTTCAGGGGCAGAGCTCCAAAAGCCCTCTGTAAAAGGTCTTTAGTTGGAGTTAAGCCTGCAAGCGCCTATGGTTTCTCATCTGTTACCAGGAGTAAAATACATTTTATGGCTTAATGGATAAATAGGAACCCGACCAAGCATATTGAAGTCTCTGTGTTGGCAGCAAGAAAAGCCACAGCCCGCTATTGGTATGCAGCCTCCCAGTGCATTTGCACAGATACCCCTCTCCTGTTTGCATATACTCATATTCCTATATAACAATTACCTGTGGTTGTCCTGTCTCTTAACAGTGAGAAAGAGGAATCCCTGAGGGTTGCTACTCAAAGTGTTCTAGAACCTTGAAATAGCTTCCCCTTTGAATTTTCCAGTTGAAAAAGAGGTGAATGAAATCTTCGAGGAGCACTGTTTCATGATGATCCAAGCACCTTGAAAGCACTGAAGGTTAACAGTTTAAGTTAACTTTAAGGGCAAATGTTACCCTGGGATATGATTATTTCAGGTCACTGGAGTAGCAGTGTCTCCAGTGAAGTGCTTTTTGGTGGATAAACAAGAATGAAGTGAATCCCTGGGACACCTCCTGAGAGAATAGAAGAAAGTAGCTGTTTTGGGAACCTAGATTTGATCATTGATTGATTGTGGGCCAACATATTGTCAGGTCCTAGCAACAGCATAACATAACTTGATCTTTCAGGTCGTCCATGGGTGCATACTGTAATTGAGTCTAGCTACCTTGCTACTGGTTATCCTCGCCCTCTTTTTTTCTTTTCACCTTTCCCAGCATTAAAGCTTCTCCAGAGAGCTAGATGTTTGCACAATGTGTCCAAAGTATGATAATTTGAGCCTGGTCATTTGTATTTGGTATGAAACCTCTGGGTTGTTTTTTTCCCAGTAATCTATTTGTTTTCTTGATTGGATATGGCATTTTCAAGGAGTCTTTTACAACACCAAGGTTCAATATCCTTCATAGATTATTTCTTCAAAGTCCACCTTTCACTTCCATAGAATGCTACAGAGGATACATGGCTTACATGACTCTGATTTTTATAAGTATAAAGACATCATGCCATATGGATATTTTCCCCAAGGCCTTCATAGCTGTTTTGCTAATCTGCAGCATATTTCTTGAGTGCTTGTTTCTTTATTATTGATGGTTCAGCCTAAAAGGTAGATACTATCCACCGTTTTGACATCTGCATTGTCAGTACTAAGACTGTTGTACCTGTTGTCATTAGTTTGATATTCTTTAAATTGAATTTTTGTACCATTTTATTTTCAGCGTAATCCTTGACTTTTATTACTACAGCTTGCAAAAAGCCAATATTTTCCTCTAAAGTCCTGCCTTGGATTTATGGCCAAGCTTTTAGAGAATCTTGTAACTAACTATTGGTTCAGTAATCAGTAGATCCCAACAGTCGCTTGGGTTGCTTTACCTATATTTCATGACAAAAGAAAGGTATGGAGATAGCCAATTAAAATTTGCTTTCCCACTGACTTAATGTGGGTAACTGGACTACAAAGTGGTATAAAATATATCAGAGGGAGGTTGGAATTTATTATGTTCCCATTATCCTAAGAAAAGATCTTACGTTGAGCAGCGTTCCTAATACAGCGAGAGCAATAAGTAAGACAGTTTCATGCAATAGTGAACGCAATTAGTGAATTAATGGGTAGAGACCAGCAGAATTCCTACATGTTTGAGAAGTGAACAACAGAAATTAACAGAAATTTCCTTATGTATTCCATGTATGTGCTCTTTCTAGGAACGTTTAGTACATTTAGTTTATCCAAGGACTTTGGAAAAGTACTAAAGCCTAATTAAAATAACAAAATTAGGGTAATTTTGCATACAAATAACAGCTGATGATAGTCACAAGTATTACTAACACAATATTCCTTTTTCTTGTCTTGTATATATATTTGCCTCGAAAACTAACAGGACACAGAGCCAAATTATTTCATAGAGCAGTTTTAAAACAAGCTTATATATTTCTCCACCCTTTCTATTTTACCCAGAAAAAAAATACCTCCAGAGACTTGGATATTGTGCAGAAATTGACCGATCAAAGGCTCAATATTTTTGTATTTTAAGCACATGTGTAACATATATTAGAGAACATTCTTACACTAATGTGTGTTAGGCACTTTTATCCCTTGGCATTTGCTTGCTTTCACTAAATCCAGGCTGATAGGTTTTATTGGAAGTAAAATAGCTGGGTGTTTTGAAAGCTTTTGATGGAGTGTCAAAGGATTCCTTATAATTACAGGAAAGTTCAATACTTTCAGGTTCTTTAGATTGATTCTAGTTTTTTGTCTTTTTATTAAAGGCAATCCTAATGCAGGGATTTGTTTAATGCAGAAGGATATAAAAGATGGGCTGAGTGTTACTTTTATGATAAGAGTAACCTCACTTTGAAAAGTCTTCCCCATTCCTTATAGGAGAAAAGTTAGAAACATTGATGAAATGTTGGTATTATTAATGGCTTCTTTGCTTGGATTCAGCCTGAGCAAAAATGTGCTTTATTTCATCCAGATCAGGAATGAGAAATTGATATTTTTTGCAAATTATATATACCATTGTATACAAAGCGGTGAGCAGTAGCTCATGTGATAAGACTCTGGGCCTGCGCACCACTGAGGTTGTGGCTCGATTCCCATGAGCAAATAAACCGGTAGGGCCTCCCCCGATTGCCTACTGACATTCCGGCGTAACAATAACACCGCCCGAAAAAATCCTTTCACAGAGGCAGCCAGCCACCTTGGTGATCCCTGGCTAACACATGCCATACACTAAAAAAGTAAAAATAAAATAAAATAGAATTGATTGGACTCTTGGAGGACTTTGATTCCTACTTCACCAATGACTACCATTTTGTTCCTTGTAGTACCTCCCCTGCTTGGTATCTGGTTTCAGGACTTTTCACTTTTACTTGGCCCACTTGCTTCCACATAGTACTTCGAACTATAGTCCTTCATATACAACATTCTCAACCACGACTCAAACCAAAAAAGTTAATTGTACATAAGGAAGACTGCTGTAACCACAGTCTTGTATCCATTATGTAGCATAGTTGCGGTCCAGCTCAGTGCCGCCATGTGGACAAATTGAAAGCTTACAATTGAGCAGTCATTTTATCTTCTGGGAAAATGAGATAGCTAAAGAGCAAACATAAGAGTTTCTCCTCCTATAGTGTCTGCTCCTCCTCCTTGGTTTTTCATTCCCAGGTTCTTTTTCAAAACAAAGGATTTAACCTTCTGGCCTGTGCATTGTCTCATACCTGAGAAGTTTACTGAAGAATTTTTCCCCATTGCAGTCAACAAACATGACCAATATTACAAAGGTTGCTGAGCTATGGTGAGAAAGGAGACAACCATCAAAATGCATGTGGATCGGTTGTGTTTACTGTTCAACATTCACTAAGTAAATCTCTTGTCCATGGTCAGTGTTAACTTTACACTTAGTATGCCCCAAAATATATATCTAATGTAATTCTGAGATAAGAAGTTGGTCAGACAAGGGCTGACATTAGAACATGGTTATGAATCTTTAATTACAGACTTAAAATGCCATTATTTACCAGCTGAGTTGATTCCATCTCTTCTTTCATATTAGTTTGAGTCCTTTTGCATTAAAGCCCAGAATGAAAGAGGATT